GTGTAGGCGCTAAGTGGTTAAACAGTGTGGATGTATCCTGAGCATTGTGTTTTCGGTGATAGTCAGTTTGGAATGAACGAGTTTCTCCAACTTGGATACACAGGACCAATATATTTTCATAAATTCTTCGTGATTTATATTTGGGACCTGTTTATAAGACAGACAAATATACGTGAAGAAGAGAAGAGTAAGTCATGTAAACCGTCAGCTCTTGAAGAAATGAAACAGTTCGTTGCTTGGTGCCTTCAAATGGGAATTGGCAAACAATCACGGATGAGGGATTATCGCAGCACCTATTTTGTTTTTGTATCCTGTTATATCTAGTCCATTGTAATTATAAGATACACTACTCTGCCATAAAAAAAGAATTGACAGGAAGTAAAAGTTAAATATTATGATTTCGATTGCGACTTTAGCTTACTTGAGTTCTTTGCCCATTTGTGCTCTGTAGATCTTTCCCGTTGACGGGTGATTGCTCATAGTACGGATAGGGTAAAAAAAATTGGCTGAGAGAAAGACAAAACAAGGATTACGTGGTGGATAGCACGTGATACCCCGGAGAGAGTATTGATGGGTTCGAAGCCCAGCTAAGGCTCTGAGGTTTCCTCATATTTCAGCATCTTTGTGGTTGTATTTCACATATTACCCTGCCATGAAAAAAAACAAGAAGCTGTTAATAAAGTCTAGTAATGTGAAAATAAGATTTGAGAGTACGCAGTATTTTCAGGGGTATAGCAGCCATTGATGAGCGCTCTCTCCATGCATGCGTATTCTTTCAAATACTGCAAGGACGTCTATAAAAGCTTCTTCAATGGTCTGCCAAGTTGTCGTGGTGAAAGTCCTTAGGTTCCGAACATCGGTGTGCAACTACATTTAGAGTTATTCCTACGCAACGACGGATCCAAGTCAGACTAAAAACTTATACGAAAACGGTTCTTTTTTTTGTTGATTATTAGATAGGGAACAGTTTTCTATGCAGCAATACTAGCAAGGCATCTGCGCTTCTATTGATTGAATGTTAGCTCGCGAACAGTAAACAGAATGTGGGTTGCGCCATACTTGACGATTACGTGCAAGTCCTCTATCTTTCAAAACGGCACGGTGGTGCAAGTTCTACTGACTGGGCGTGTTTTTCCCGCTTGTTCTTTTCTCTTCTCTTAATAGTCACTGTCTAATAGAACACGTTTACGTGTGTTGCCCTAGAAGCAGGACTTTTCGTCGACGTTGTAGGATGTTGAACTTCTGAAGAGACAGCCGCTGCGACAACTTATGTATTCTCTCTGATATGGTATTTAGGCAGACGGATGCAATTGTCGTTCATTCAGAAATTTTGAGTGCTGGAAGGATTTGATAGTGAAATGTCATTGTTGTTTTACAATTAATGACATCTCATGGGCGTCGTTGGTTTTCTTCTCAAACTTTGTCCACTGTTTCTGCACTTCTTTCGCCAAATTAAGGAGTTGCCTGGAGCTCGTAGAACTCCTCACCAGTGCTTTAGCAGCTCGAGATTTTCTGGATGCCAGCGTCTGTTGTTTGTTTTAGTGTTGTAAGATTCGCTACCATTGTTGTGAATATGTTGAATGAGTCGATGTTGTTGCCTATTGATGATGCCTATAAAGGTGTCTCTCAAAAACCGCTGAAGACAAAGAAAATCTTAACTAATCATTTTGCGATCTTTTTTCCTATTTTTTTGCGTTTCCTTTTTCTTCGGCGAGAGGAGTCGTGCATGACAGAGGCCATTGTTTTGATATCATGTTGCACTTTTGGGCAACAACGGCATTGTCCGTCTCCTGTGAATTACCATAGATGACGTTCAATGGGTGCGTTCTATTCCAATGTGTTCTCCAATGTGAGGATCATCAGAGGATTTCTTGGACATAATCCAAGGTTAAAGTAATACCATTCAATCAGTTCACTGTGCTTTTCAGGTGTTTTTTTTTTGAACTTTTCCTGTACACTATTTATCAAATTCGAATCTTATCCATATTCTGCGTTGAAAGCTCATTGCATACACTCGCTTATGTTCCCCTCTTGCTCCTGTGAATCATATATAACTCACACGGTCCCCACCTTTTTATCGTCTCTCCTGTTTTGGCTTATAATTCTTTTCTCTGTATAATTTGGCTTTTCCGTATGCTGCTTTATTGGTATTCACTCCGTCCTTTGTTTTCTATACCACCTTTATGATTTTCCACTTATCTTTCTCATTGTTTTGGAATATTTCCCACTCTTATACACATTGAAAAAACTCGTTAGCCATTAAATTTATTACTACCAACATTTGGTAGTCGACTTCGCAATGTGTTTGAAGTACATTTAAGCATTCTTTTATAATTCCTACGTCCATCTATCCTATACGATGACTGTGATTCATTTAACGACTGCGAAGAAAAGAACAGTGGTCTGCTGGTTAAGGCGTGAGTCTTATATGCTTGAATCATATCGGTGGAAGGTGAACAGAGCTTTCTCATCGAAGAGCAAGAAGGCGGTGAAGACACCGAGGAGGGCAAGTAACTTTTAGTAGTTTCGGACAATGGGGACTAAGATGTTAGTGATAAACTTAGCGGTTGATGATCTGATGGTTCGTAACTCCTAGGTTTTCATTATCATTTAATTTGGTGTTGATGCAGTGCTTCGTCTTAGGTTCAGAGAACCTGCAGATTTTTATGATTTATAACAGCTATTTGGGACTAGAGTTCCAGAGGACCGACACTTGCGGAAGGGGTGAAAAGATTTATAGCTCTGCGATTTTGTTTGAGCGACAATGCCAATATATGAAGGTCAAGACTTGTTGAACAAGATCAGATCACTTCTCGAACTTTTCAACGGATATCTCTACAGCAAGGTCCATGTCTGGCCTGGCTGTGTTAAGGAAGGCATGTGCATGCCATTAAAATGCACCTAGTCTTTCCTTGCCTGAAAAATTGCTCTATAGAATTGTACATTTGATTGGCACGTGCAAAACGAATGGGAAAGAGCTTTCTAATCAGGTAATCCAGCAAAAGTTTAGTAGTGAGCAAATGGTTACGCAACCGGATCGAAGTAGCGTTGTGGTGCTGAAATGGAAGAAAAAAACTACTCTTTATTCGTTTGCATGGCGAGAATATGGAAGATTTATAAAGAGGAGACCGGGATGCGATGCCAGGGTAGAAGAGTACTTGAGTTTTTTCAGGTTATTAGTGTTCGCACGCTCTTTACTAGCAACGTTTTTGGAAGGATTCAAATCGCATCGAAGAGACGAAGACTTGTGTTTGCCATTATAAGAACGTAGTAAACTCAAGGTTTGCTGCATCGCTCACCAATAACGTCAGCACTAATTGCCGCAGTTGTGGAAGCCAAATTTTTTTAGACTGCTTCAGTAATTCCACTGAATATGTTCAGTGTAGAGATTTCGTCTTGCAGTTATAGTAAATTGCAAGAAAAGATTGTGTATTGTTGGAGTCACGATTGAACAGGTTAAAATCATAATGCATCGTATGTAAAAATCGTCCGTATATAGTATAAATTGAAAGAATTGCATTATGTGAAGTAAATTTGTAAGCGTATGATGCTTAAAACATTCAAACGTTGGTCGCTTTGTACATCTATAGGTAACAGCCTCGGTGGCGCTGAGTATGCTACTGTACTAAAATCCAAATCAACTGTACATCCATGCAAATCTCGGTGATCCACCATCTTGTCATAGCGAAAACATGTCTTTTAAGTATCGAACTTCAGTACTCAAGTACAGAAACATATCTGTACCCGCTACGGTCTCTGTGGTGAACGCTCTCTTCACAAGCATCAGGTCTGCAACGGGACAAACCTGTTCGAGGACAGTTTTTTGTGATTTCATAACTATTGATTCTCTTATCACGTTATAGGCCAAAACTACTTAACCTTTTATTTACTGTTTGCTGTAATTTTTGATAGAAGGGTATTATGTGAAATGTAACCACAGTGATGCTGTGATATTCGCAAAACTTCGACTCCAGACCAGACCAAACCACGATTACCCTTTCGGTGGGCTCGCATGCTGCACACTGTACCACTGAGGTCCTTGCTTTGCATTTCTCTCAGCTAGTTTTCTATCTAACAGCGCCATCAATAATCACCCATCAACGGGAACATTTGTTTTAAATAAACTACCGTTTAAATATAGAAAGTGTAGCAAAACCACTCTGGTGGGCGAAACAAACAGAAAATGAATCATATATGATTCAAACGCTCCGCTTTTCCACTAGTCCACTTATGAATCATATACGACTAACACTGTCGCTAATGTTAACCTTCTTTTTGGGGTCTACTATAACTTTTCACTACAGGGTGTAATGTGAAATACAACCACATTGATACTGTTATATTCGTAGAACTTGGGCCCCTAGTTTCTTCACTGTCGCGAATGTTTTAATTTCCATTTTTCAATTCAAGTCTATATAGAACATATTTATTCATCGTTCAGTTTTGTTTTCACAAATATTTCATCGCTATTCCACTTCGTTCGTGAAGCTCAACGTAGTCTGAAAATGATAAAAGTATGACTGTCATCTCAAGTGGAGTCAGTGAACAAAGTACGCTGCTGGTTTCTCTGAAATGAGATAAAGCTTGGAAGCGTTCGGCGTTGATCAATCTCTGAGGTATACGAGATGCCTTCACCTCCGTTAACATATAACGGCCGAGACGAATTCTGTGCAGTGCATGCATGCGTTGTGGGAGTGTGGACGAAGTGCATTGCACCCAGTGCATTTTATTTCCAGTTATTTATTTTGTTACACATAGCTGTTTTACTGCATTTTTTAATACTCATCCATAATGTAGCTTGTCCAATACAGATGTTAAGTTGTGCATGGCTCCTACTCCTGTCAGGTCTTACGTTAGAAATCCTCATGTTCATTTCCCTTTTCACTGGCATTAGAACTGCAGTTCGCTTTCGATCAGTAGCGTGGTTCATCCGTTGACGTCTGTAGCGCGAAATTTTCAGGGTTTCATAAACTCACTTTGCTCTGCGTAATAGATGTGGAATGGACGGTTTTGCGGAAGCAAATCTCCTTCTTAATTCAGCTCTTGAACAACTCGATTCCCTTATCATAAACGGTCAGTCTGTCTTCTGAATTTTACATGCTGTGTTTTCTGAACCAAACAACGATGTTCCTATCGTCAGTGCTACAGTGTTTTCGTATTGTCCTTTTTCGTAGCCCAGCTATTACCATGACAATTATTCGATAAGGAGTTGAGAACTTCACATTTGCTAGAAGATTTTTTTATTTTAGCGTTTACTTAATCAAACATGGGTTAGGATTCTTCTTAAAGGGAGTGTAAATTAGATGACTGAAACAACGGTGTGTTATCCTAAATTTAAATCACTTAATGTACGACTTCAGCCTATATTTTAATAGGGAATGTCTCAGCTCAAAACAAGCTGTATTTTTTTTTACTATGACCGGTCATTACATTCTTGCATTCGATTTGTTTCTCCGCACCAACCATTCATGAAACTCTTCAAACGTTTTTGCTCGTGGCTTCGGCTGCTGCTCAAGGAGTTTCGTCTTCGTTATTAGTGTCATTGAATGCTGGTCCAGTCGACTCTCCCTGGTCTCCTAAGATAGTTGTGCTAAAGCATCCTAACGTGATTTCTTTGCAAGGATTTAGTTGTTCCTCGACAACTTTGGTATCAATTTCTTTACGGCGAAGGGATGAGAGACTTAGTTTCTCAGAGTGAGGTCGATCCCATTACCTAGATAATTTGGGACTTTAGTGTAATGAACCACTGCAGCAACAATGCGCCACTCATTCCTTTCCTTTTCAAATGCCTAACATATTTTGTAACATATTTGCATTCGCAATAAATTATACCAGACTGATGGCACTTTCTTCGAGGAATTGAGAACTCGACGGCACGGAAACACCCGCTTCCATTGTAACGCAACTATACATCCATCTTAAAGTCGTCATTCAGCGAGGTTTCTAACATGTGCTTGCTATGTATTTCCCACGAGTTTACCATGACATATCAATGACCAGGTGGAAGAAGAGGCGTGCATAGAGCTGATATATGGTCTCATGTATTCACTTAAGATCGTCCACTAGTTCTAGCTGTGGTAACTTGTGGTCCCGATGGGTTAGTTTGAGCAAAGGGTCGTGTCATGAACTGTGGTCTTCCTTGTAATGACGGTCTATTTCAATGCCATTGCACCGCACCAATTTGTTATGCTGTCCACTGTCCTGTCTTCGGCTTCAGATGGATGGTCCGCTGAGAAAATCATTTTCGTTTTCATTCGATAAAATGGGCTCTTCTCTGCAGTAACTCAGCCAAGGAAACATTTGTGTACTAATTATCGACAGTCTACCAATATAGAGATGTCATCCTTCGTACAGCAATTCCCGGTTCTGCTTCTGCTCCATATTTCCAGTTATACAAGGATAACTGCAACTACACAGCAAATTCTTTAAATGTAGCCCTTCGTAAGCACAGTTTGAATAACTCTAGTCGGTTTTTTTCTGTGTAGGATATATTGGGAGAAAGTGACCTCATCTAGGAATTACTAAACCGTTGTTCGTTCCAATCACAATTAGTTACGAATATCGGTCTCAAATGTTTTATAAAAATCTGTTGCTTCTCCGTGAGGCAGTGCACTGCTAAATTACTTGCTGTTAATTTCATCTTTCATCTTCGACTGTTTTCTTCGAGTCTTTTTCTTTAAACTCTTCGACGAGAAGCACCTAAGGTTCATCACTTCTCCATATTCTTCGTTGCTATTTTTGAAGAGAACTCGATCGATGTTTTGTTTGATGTGTACAGTACACTCTTAGAGTGATAGAACAAAGTTTCTTTGTATTTTTGTTGAGCAAATGCGAGGTGTTATTTTATTCTTTATTCACGAACAAGCTGAAGTTTAGACGGATTTCGCCTTCCTCAGAGCCTGGGAAGGTCAAATTGACAGCAATCTATCCGGCCACACACTTCCATAACCAAACATGAGAAAGCGCTAAACCAAGATTTCAAACACATTGAACACAGAATAGCTTCTTTGCACACTCACCGCTTTCTATGAGGCTGAGTCGCTTCCACCGAGTCGCGTGTAGACCAACCGCACAGCATTCACATGGAAGCGTAATGTGTTCCTCCTTTCAGAATAACAGGCTTATATACTGCCCAATATCACGCGTGATAATGAGGCATTCTTCCCTGCGGTTCATTTTCGGATTTCTGGAGTTAATCCAGAACGCCTCGAGAGTTTTGTGCGTTTGTGTTCTCGATTCCTGTGCGAGGGTCGTGGCACGTACTTCAAAATCCTCTTCGTTATATCTCCAGGGTCCTATGCGTGCCTAGCGGGGAATTTGGTTTCTGTTTGCCGGCAAGGTGTTCTTTTATGCGGACACAGAGGGGTCCGCCCGTTTCGCCAACGTGTTCGTCTCCGCACGCCTTACAGGAGATCGGATAAACCGTACCCGAGCTCATGCAATCACCATCTCTACCATTACGACAAATTATGCAGTTTTGCTTTGCACATAGACAGTCATACAGGCGGTTACGAACTAGCTGGCGCTTAAGAGTACTCGGTGGGATTTCAACTACGTTTACCCAATTCTCTAGACCCGGCATTCTTGAGCAGCGTTTTATAGCTGTACTTACATCATTTGAGATGAAGGGTAGGATAAACGGGACTTTTCTATCCCTAGAGTTGTCGTTTGGGGGTCTAGGAATTCACCTATCCCGAGCTACAGTTTCGCAGCCGTGCCAAGTTCCGGGACTTCTCCCTCTACTCTGTTCCCGTGCACGCGTAGGTTGCTGTTCGAATCGTGTTTCATAAAAGAGCCCTTTTTGTGTGTGGAGGCTGAGAGGAGAGGCAATGAGCCAAGTTGTTTTTACTACTTGGCTTTCGGTGCCACTTCGTAATGTAGCCATTTTCTGGCATGTTAATTTAGACGTTCAGGAATGAAAGCCAGTTTTTCTTCGGTTTTTTCAGGTGAATTTAATATACTCTGACTGTTCATTCAGTAATTCAAAGCATTTGTCCATTTTATCTTGTGTTGAGCAGAGGACAAAAGAGTCATCTATATATCTACAGTACAATAACGACCCGAGATCGGTCACTGGTGCTTTCACCTTAGACATAAACGCAATGGCAAGAGTTGGTGCTATCTTTGTCCCAATTGCCAGCCTTCTCATCTGTGCGTAATAAGCTTCCATGTGAATTCTCTGCAATTGGTCTGCACGCGACATACTCAGTGGAAGCCTCATAGAAAGCGGTGAGTGTGCAAAGAAGCTATTCTGTGTTCAGTGTGATTGAAATCTTGGTTTACCGTCTTCTCTGTTTGGTTATGGAGGTGTTTGGCAGAATAGATTGCTGTCAATTTGACCTTCCCAGGCTCTGAGGAAGGCGAAATATGTCGAAACTTCAGTTTGTTCATGAATAAAGAATAAAACAACACCTCGCGTTTGCTTAACAAGAATACGAAGAATTACTTGATCAATGCCGAGGTTAATAGAAAGTCGGTCGTGGGATTTATTACGAGACGTACCAGAACAAAGTTTGTTCTATAAGTCTGTCGAATTCTCAACTCCTCGCGTCCTCTAATTATCGAGGAACCAGTCTCGTCTACTATGGGAAGGACAGAAAGTTCAAATGTTGACCGGTTATTGGTGGGTATAAAAAGTATCGAAAACACTCTTCAGATAAGCTCTCAAACACATCCAAATGCTCAGAACAGCGTGGTTTCTACGATAGACCTTGGTGAAATACTGTAAATAGTAACGTATACACCTTTAGAACGACAATGTAAAGCTTTTTTTCATATCTCTGTCGTGGCCTCAACCCCTCAAGTCCCTCTAGCCGTTGAAAATTATCGCCTATTGTCGAAAAGCCAGTATTGTTCACTATGTAGTGTGTTTTAACTGCGTCCGAGTTATCCAAGTCTGTGGCCTGCATGAAATGAGGCATCCCACTTGGCATGGACGCAAAACAACGTCGATAAAGCAGAAAGTTTAACTGTGATGCGCTTGAAAATGTCATTTTATTATTCCTATTTGAATAGATGCAGAGCTGCTTAGGGATGAAACGAGTGTCGAAGAAAGTTCGTGAAACTCAATGCACTCTTTCTCATTTACCATTTGAGGTATGCCTTGTATTTATGAGTGGGACGTCAGTGCTATAATTCACGTCCAACATTTTGCATAGTAGTGTTGTGGTATCATAGACGCGTTAATATGAGTGAGTTTTGTAGCAAGATGCAAACTAGGTTGTTTACGTTATTTGATGGAACATGAAAGAACATGCTTTACCTTGTCTACTAGTAACCGCACCAATTTCACTTCCTATTCCTTCACTTCTTATCAATTTTAGTTCATCGTTTCAATTTCCACAATAGTGTAATGGAATATGTAAGGCGTTGACTTCTCTATACACACAAATGGTCAAAATTCTCTCTACATGACAATGAAATTATCCGAAGACAAATCAGTAGCCCAACTTTCCGGCTGTCGGAGGCTTCGATATCTTTTGCCTGACGAAATCTACCATGTCACTTCATAACATAAAATCGACCTTATGGAATTGCCGTAGTCTGTTCCCACCAATTTAGGCGGTAACAGTGCGTCTTCTGCGGGAAGCTTTGCTCGACCAGAGAAGACGCGTTTATTAGCGACAAGCGACATTCAGAAGATTGATGTGGGTAAGTATTTAACGACAACGTATTTTTTATAATTATGAGGAGCTAAATATTCGATGGTTGGTTTTCGTTGACGATTTCATTTTCGTTTTAAATATTTTGCAGTGTAGATTTGCGCAACACTAATATATTACTGTTTAAATGAAGACAAGCTGTCAGTGCAACAAGTATTGGGGAGGGGAGGTAGAAAGGAGACAATGCAAGGTTTTACATAAAGCTACTACAACAGTAATTTCTTATTTTAATTAAATTAACAGTGTCTGATGCCTCGTCAGAAGTAGAATCACCTCTATCGGATGTTCCTACCACTTCGTCTTCTCCATGCTATAGTCCTAAACCTAAAGTTTACTGTGATTTTCTTAAGGTATCTTTTCATTCGTTCATTTTCCTCCTTTACTGCATAACATTGCATTTTGGACGTAGTTCTCATCTGCACAAAGTGTAATTGAAAATTATAGGCGATTGAAGATAACTTGATAACGGAACGACCGAGCCGTGAAACTCAATTGAAGATTATGCAGTGGCTAACTGGTAACTGTGTGAGTGTTGTTTCATATCGTTTCTATGTTCGCAGCCTTAATCACAGTTTATTTTGTGTTTCTTCCATCAACAAATTGGTGGTTTTTCTTTGCCGTCACTGTTTTCCCAGTGATAGTATATTCTAGGTTTATAATTTTTAGCTCAGTTTTACTTCTGATTACTGTTATAGTTTTTTGACAGTTTTTAATGCTATCATTGTGTTCTCCATTGTTACGAACGAACATTATTATTGTTCAAAAATTTTTGCACCTAGTAGAAAATAGCTCGAAAATTTGTTCTCGTTCTGCGCCACTCCGTCCCATACGCATTCGACAGAGTGTAATCCAGGCACAGGCGCGTTTCACTGGTGTACGAAGGTTACAAAACAACAAAGTCAGCGTTTCGGGAACGATTGGAATTTACCCAAAAACAGCAGGTGTTTCGCACGATCAAGAATCAACACTGCTTATTTTTTGCGTTACAGATCTAAAAAAGCTTAGAATTTTATTACAGGTCTTTTGGTGAATTTCGTCTAAATTGTATATATGGGTACAGTACTACGATTATTGTCGTATTTGTGATTTCGAACCATGGATTCATGCAACTCATAGAGTGCCAAAGTGAAAATGAGATTGGTTGTTGTTGCTCGACATTGATCTATAAAAAGAATCATGCGTTCAGTGGTAATGGAACACTTATCTGGGCATAAATGATGGCTTGTGGTGGCCTAAAAGTGTATCAATTCAGTGTTCCTATGCTGCTAAACAGATATGGTACCAGTTTACCGACATGGAACGGCTGAAGAGCATGGTGACCCCGGTCGCGATATCGAACCAAAGGCCAAGTGTGTATTTCAGGACATTTCTAACCACTGTGCTACAAGTACTCGTTGGTTTATATGATTTGTACAGCTGTTAAGCATAAAAATGACCCGGCTGTGCATCATTAGCCGATATGCGCCAAGATTGACCTCATTTGGAGCCATATCTTTGTGGAGAAACAGGCCACTTTGGCCCCTTTTGAGGTCATTTTCCGGTGGTTTATTGACGCAAGGAACATTTTTGCTGCACTTCTTCTAGTCAGTTGATTGCTTATCGAGTGCAGATGTCGCTCCATATATTATTCCAAGGCAAGCTTTTGTTAATGCTTACTAATTTTCAAAAAACTTTAGCTTGTGTTTACTTTCTCTTTTGGCAGCCTTTGAGGAGGGAGCAGATGTGTCTGCTGTACTCGAATATTGAAGTTTGATACTTAGAGCCATTTTTTCATCAACAGAAGTTGACCACTCATTAAGGAGACATTTTTAGAGTAATTGTAGTTTATAGTTCAGTTATTCGCTTGACTTCTCTAGAACTATTTGTCTGTACGACGGCTAGCTGTTCAACAGTGCATTTCCACAAAGTGTGTCTTATTTCCTGGATTTAATAGCATCCCACCGATGTTGCGAGCATCCTACTAAAATGGTTTCATTTTGGAATCGGAAATTCATGTAAGGATCCATATTTTGCAAGTGAAGAGTTCTTATTTCATTTGCAGTTGCTATAATGAATCATGTCTATTTTATAGAATTGGAGGATATAAAAACATAGAGAAAATGCCAAAATGTTTTTCGATAATCCTACTGGATTCGAGCATCTGCTGAATAATAATGTGATTGGATGATGAGCAAGATTTTTCTCATCGTACACATGGCTTTTAAATGCTCCAAAAACACAGAAAGATACGTAGAAGAATGTGTAGGATACTTAACATATGAGAGAGCCAAAGTTACTCGAAGAACGCGTGGGGTTCTCGGATTATAGGAGGAAAATCGCGACAAAAGGATGGGTTTATTCGTTGAACGGACATTGCGGCTCGCACGACAACTGTTTGAGTACAATGATACAATCCATTTGTTGGTAAACAAACCTTTGCATGGCTACATTAGTTTGAATACGTGCATATAGGAGCTATAAGGCACTCCTGCGCTGAAGAGAGGGATTCCATTTCCTGAATTCACCAGCACCACTAAGCAACTGTTGTCATTTCTTGCCCGCATTTCATTTTTATTTGTCATGTGTGGACCTGCCATGATGCCTGGCAGCGAAGCAGCTCAGGAATCTCTCATATAAGATGTATTTGATCTAAACGGTATTTGTTAAACTAAGTATTACACCAATCATAGCACATGCAATGGAAAAGCAACATGCATTTCTCCATCGTGGCCTGATTCCCCTTGGAGGGGAATGGTAATACTGCAGACTCTTTCACTCTTTTGTTTATGAACCAGTACAGGATGATCCCCTCCTTCCACTCGTTACTTTTCCTCATAGAAAGTTATCGAATTTATAGTGTTCTCATTACGAAGACCGCACCTATCCTCAACCGTTTGTATATCGTATTGTGTTCACCTTTCATTCTATGCTGTATCTGTGTATCTGTGACTTCCTACAATAATTGCCGTTTCTGGAGATTCGAGCTTTCCTATACTAACACAATTATCATGAGCTGGCAGCGTACCCAATTTCCCCTCGCTCATTGCAAAAAATATATGGCTTTCTTTTAGACCGCCATTTATCAATGTGTTGTATTATCCATTTGCACCGTTTGTTACGTCTTTAGTGGTATTTGCATTTTCGAATAGGTTTGAAGATTTATTGATGAATGTTTTATTGCTGCTAATGTAAAGTATACACACTGGCGAATGACGAACGTGTCGATTGATTTAAGAAGCACTGACAGAATGAAAGAGGAAAGAGTAAGATTGGCGCTGAGTGTGTGAACGAGAGGCTTGTGGGAGGGTTGTGGGAGGTCGAGAACAGTTGCTGCTCGCTGCAGGTATCTTTGGTCTTCGAATATACGAGACGGTTTCGCTTAATTTGTCTGAGCTCTAGTGATAGAGTTTATGTGGTGCTGACGTAATTATCATCCTGCTGGAATATTCTCTTGTCATTCAATGCTGCTGTCTAGTAGTAACGACTGTCGTGATGTCATCTTGTCCTCTGTCTCGAATATTATCCAGAATCAACTTTTTACGTGCGATGAGTCTAAAGATTTTCGAACCAAGCCAGCTGGCCACCTATCTCGCGGAACAAAAAGGTATCAAAGTTTGTAGTTTTCGTATCAAAATCATGTCATGTTTCGTTTTGCTAATGTTGAAAACGATAATACTTGATGACAGAGAGTATTAAGCACAATATCCTTGTTTGGAGAGTTTAAAAAGGCTCTGTGGTATGAGGATTAGTTTAAGCTCTACTTCGAAATATTTTAACGAATTTCGTTCGTTGTTCCGTTCTTTTCGAGCTCACTATTTTTAATTAGTGAATTGCACTATGTGAATTTCACCAGCTGTCGGAAACGCGCTTCCTCCATTGATGGGTTCTCGTGAGTATCGATGGCTACGAAGCTGTTTCCCCACGCCTCTTTAACCCCTTTTTCTGCTTGCCATCACTAGAAACACGCACTGCAAAAGCTCACGTTTTTGTTAAATTCCTGACATTTTCCACGTATTACCGAGATTCTCTGCAAATTCATGGTTCTGTTTATTTGTGTTACAATGGTAATGATGGCTCAGTATTTATAGTTCCTCATTAGAAAATAGATACAATGCATCCGTCGTAACATCTTCCCTTCTTCCAATGTAAAATATTAGTCCATTTATTCTAATAGTTAAATTATACCTAGATGAAAAGAAAAGTTTTGTTTTGAAACATCCGTCAACCAGTAAACAGAGCCTTACGAGCCTTTATATTTTGCCGTACAAAAACGATATACAAAATTGGAAATGAAGTTATGAGAAGGTTGTGCAATAGCGTACGAGAAGGTGCAATCTCTGTTCTCGTAGGTGTTCCACTTGGGCTGTACTACCGCATGTGACGCAGTACTCAGATTCTGGTTTCGGTTCGGCACTCTCCTCTGGTTCGTCGTGCTCGTACCTACCACCTCCGCCGCCTTATCGTATGAGAATCAAACAGCACAAAATATATCGCAGCTGCAGCGATTCTAAATATTTCATTGAGCAGCAGTCGATCATCCCTCCTTTTCCGGATACACAGCGGCGAACATGTGGTGATAGATGGAATAGTCAGTGCAGTTTGGTGAGCCATTAATTTTTCCCAGCTCTATCGTTTGTTTAGCATCTTAGTGCTGATGTATGCCTTGTTAACCCATTTTCTTTTCAATAAATCGTTTTTAACCACACTCTAGTTTTAGCCACGCTTTACTAGCCTTATTAGACATGAACTGTGTGAAATGTGTCATTTGTAGTTCATTAATTCTATGAAGCCGTTGTTGCTGTTGTATTGCTAGCGCAGAATCACTAGAAATGTCGAAAAATGATGAATTCACTTCCTTTTGGTTAACTTAGTAGTCACTACAAATGCAGTGTTGTTTATTATGCACATGAAAATAACATTCCGGCTGTCACTGAGGTAATTTTTCGTTCAAAATGCGTACTCGAAGATTTTTCAGTAACCGAGTAGGCGAACTTTGTGGAGTATGCGGAAGCCTGACTGTAGCTGCCTGAAGAAATTGAAATCGATACTTCGTAGTGTAAAATTAGAATGTGAAACAATGCTTTAGCTGTGTATTGCCTACAAATGGTGGCTATCATATGCGTATCCACGACCACTGATTTAGTTCATTTTCCAGTTGTATATTATTTAAAACGGTGAATTCATTCTTCTGTCCCATTCGGGTCGCATATTAGCTTAAAGGTTTCAATGACGCGAGTTTGCTTACTCAAGGATATCGTTGCTTCATCGGATAACGTTACACCGTGTACTTTGTATATAAACGCGTCAATACATGTATACTACATATACATTTTTTTGTTTTTGTATTTTTTCATCTAATTGTCACAGCTTCTGATATTTCACAATATAGCGATGGCCAGCGGTTGTGTTTAAATATTAAAATAGGTAAGGTAAGCTCAACTCCTCCTTTTTGGAGTTTTCAAAAACATGTTTTACGTTATGTGCATAATTGTTGAAGTTTGATTTGAATATCTTGGCCGGTGTTATTTCAAAGATCTTATATATCGATAGAAAGACGTCGAAAAAATTGTAAATTGCTAGAAGCTGGAAAATAACGTACAGAGTTTAACAAGTGAAGGCTTGATTTATTTCCAGTCACTGTCTTCTGTATAAATTGCGTTTTATTGTTCAGAGTCCATCTCCATCGATGTCAACCGTTTCCTGTCCAGAATATCCGGAGCTACAGGAACGGCTACATCGACTTGCCATAGCTAGAGACAGTCTCTCCCTACAGGTTGGTATCATGGACGGCAGTTTATCATCATATCTCTGTTCTTGTGAACTACGACGTGTATGAAGTTCAATTCAGAAAGAGTAAGTAAGTATAATATTCGTTACACGGTCATACGAACTTTCCTTTTTTATAACAATTTAAATGATCAAGTTAAGTGAATGAAAAATTTTCTCCACACGAACTCAAGAGTTACCAGAGTATGAAGGACATCTAGTTTTTGTTTGGGCATCGTAAAGAATCCGACTAGGGATACCTTTCAACCAATGTCTTGCTTTGCATATGTTTAGTATACGTGATCTTCAGAGTCAATTTTATATATCGGAACAAATGATAGCAGATGTTATCGAAAGCACGAACTGATCTATGTGCTTAAAACGAGTAAAGATGTAGCACTTCATAAGGTTAACCATGATAAAATGGAAAAAAGATTCATTTGAATCGTTTGTTGCTACCATGTTGGCTGCACTATATCGCTGAGGGAATCTTTAAGGCTGGAGAAATCATTGAATTGAAAGTGTGAGAAGGAATACAACCACAGGGATGCTGAGGAATGAGCAGAACTCGGGACCTCAGGTGGTCGTCGAGTCCGCAATTTTTCGTACCGGGAGCTCACTTGCTATCCAGCACGCTGAGGCCTTTGCCTTTCTCGCAACTGAGGTTTTTTTTTACTCTATCGGTTCTATACTATCAGCAATCATCGGCAGGTAGGAATCAATTGGGAAGCACAAATCGACATTGAACGCAGTTACGCTGAAGTTGCAATCGAAATTACTATGTTTTGCTTACAGCAGCGGTAGAATAAAAAATAACAATATATTTTTACAAATAGTACCCAAAAATAAGAACGGCTTGTAGAAAACATGGCTGAGATAGAAAGAAAACAAGGGCTCTGTTGGTATGGTGTTTAGCAGGTAAGCGCCCAGTGAGGAGAATTAGGAGGAACCTGAGAATCGAAGCCCAACTGAAATTCCGAGTTTTGCTCATTTCTTGTCATCCCTATGGTTGATCCCCACATCGTACGCTGACATAACAAAAGAGCAAGCAGAATGTAAAAATTGAAAACCAGTCTGGAAAGGTTCAGGCTTCTTCATCTGACCCATTATCTTTCTATAGTAACCGCAAGCTTCGCTTTCGTCCTATTGACGTATAACACTATTTGCCGGAATAATTGCTCACCAAATTGGATAAGCTAAAACATTGGGGCCTGTTTTCAAGGATTGCGATGAATACACTGGAAAAAATGTCCTGGGCAGAAAGTGTTTTTGGTGCAATTTTTTTTCCGAAATCGTTCTTGAAAATTTCACTTGTTGATCGAGATTGTTTAAGGTAAGGCCGAACTTTGTCAGCATAGCCTTTCATGGTTTACAATATTGTTATGAAGCCTCACTGTTAGTGACACGACGATATAGATTCGTGGTATTTAAGCACAGAGGTCGTCTCTGAGTTTCACTTAAGGCAGAAAGCCGCAATCAAAAATTTGTAGAATCGGATTAATTTCGCTTTCTTTCCGTTTTCGTGCGTGTTGTAAATCTTTCCAACGCTTCAATTTCCTTCAACAACTCAGTCCGGCGTTTTAGTCTGCCTCATTTTAATCGATCTCTCACAATGTCCTAGAAGTCGCTTCCTTGGTAGTAGAACTGAATGTGTCATGGTTAATTCCAAAAGTTTCCTTAATTTTGAAGGAAAATGCGCACGCAAGCAACAAAATTAAATTAAAGGAGATGAAGACGACATTGTGTTCACTTTGTTCCTGAAATGCTTGCTTAGTTAACATTCTTTGCTCTGTGACCAACAGTGTAGTCATTTCGAAAAGAAAAGGAATTAGTGTAACTGAAGAAGCGCGTGTGATGCGACAAGTTTGTTTTTTTTTGGTTTGAAGCCAGCGGTGGGATATAATTGTTGCTAAAGGCGAGTACTGGCATGTGTGCTGTATCGAAGAACTGATATTAGGAAATCTTTCCGCTACAGTAAGGTGTTAGTCCTTTAAGATCACTTAAATCTACTTTTCTTCTCACCTACGTTCGTGTTGGGAACCTGAACGCCACTGAAGCAGGATGAAAGCAGTCGAGAGGTTGATACTGGGAATATCCCGTACCCTTCAAATGAGAGGTGATATATGAAGGATTGTTCAAAGTCATCCATAAAAATTAAGGACTCCTTAATAGAAGCGAAATGTTGAAAATCTGGTTAATCGTGTAGACGATGCGTTTTAACGAAAACCGATGGATAAGAGTCTTGAGTGATTGGGGTGATTGGGCCCCAAGGTATGTCATGCGCACATTATTAGGACCACCTACCGGTCCGATAGCCAGGACTCTTCAGAAATATCATCGGAGAAAAACATGGCGCCTAGGGAGTTATTAGTGCTAGCGGAATCTTTTGTGCTGGCAACTTCCACGCTTCGTGGAGAAATGGAGACAATACGCTCAAGCCAGTCGACGATCAACAGAACGGAGGTGGTCCAGGTGATATAAATTGACCTGGTAAAACATTTAAACGTCTTGTATAGGTGTAATCATAACATTGTTGTATAATCACTGTTATCGAAATTAATGGCTTTAAAACGGCTAGATTTTCACTATGTGTTTCCACGTAATGTTTTTATTTCTGACTCTTATTTCCAAAGCGTTCAAATGATCTTATGAAGATCCTTCCCATATAGGTTTATCTTATAACCTGAAATTCTTGCAATTTATGCATTCTACCTAATGTACGCAGTCTTAGCAACCATGAACCTTCACGATTCGATTTTTGCATAAAATTTACAATCATTACGGATCGCATTGTTTACTTCTTACACACTTCAGATACAGTTAGCATGTGTTTTAATCCGAAACCTACAAACTCTCCTCCCTTCTCTACAGTTGACAGTCTTGTAGCCAGTATTGGACCGATTTAACAAAAATATTTACTTTCCTGGTTAGAGCCTCAACGGAGTTGTAGTACTGATCTCATGTGTAAGAGAGCAACATTTCAAACTAGCCAATTGAGCGTTTTTGTTTACTAGAGTTTCTTCTAGGAGATTGCTAAGTGGAGATGTACCAGTAGGAATGCGTGAAATGCGACTTTCCCGTTATATGTCAGAAGAATGGAGATAATGGAGACCTGGATAGAAATTTAAAAACCACTCAGCTGTAGCGGTTTTAACTTTTTCTTTCCTCAGCGCAAAGACCAGTTGATCACTTTATCTCCTCAATGGTGGATTTTCTCTATTCGTTCTTCCCTTTTCTATCTTTGTTGACGTCGCTCATTACCAGTTCGCAAAATTTAGTCACAAATGTTTCATAAAAATGAATCGTTTAATGTATCCAGGCAGAAGTTTGTAATTGGCTCAGTTTAACTTTTCTCGGAGATTCATTTGTGATGTGGTAGTACATCATATGACCACTAAGCGCTGACCTAACAATCAGTGCCTCTAACTTTATCGTCCAATTCACTTCCATCGTGCTTTTCAACAAATAGCGCAAAAGTTTTTCAACCATATTTTCTGTTCCATCGTTAATTGATTCTCCTTGAACATGTTGAGTCGTCATCACCTCAGTGAAGCTTTATCGCCTCACGGTACCTTCGTAGACGGTGTTTGTTGCGTCCCCGATAATAATTCAGCTTTCCACCTTTGAACGATTATGTCTTAGCTCGCAATGGTTTTTTGTATTAAGTAAAAATCAGCGGAATCTATAGATTTTTGCGCAGAAGATACATTTGTTATTCTACTAAGATATGTGATCATTGCGAGTCCACTAAACCACTTCTTGTTTCCCGGAATTCAAAGCGATTGAACAAGTAGGTGCTTTCTAGTGGAACACACTTACAGCCCTGTAAGATGTTGCAGATTCACAAAATAGGGTGTTGCTGTTGCGATTCAATTAATTTCTTTGTTGACGTCGAAGCTCCCGAAGAAATTCTTTGTCTATTTCAGTCACATTAACTAGTGGTTTGTAATCTGTAGCGTAAACAGTAAATAGTTATACTAACTAAGTAGATCGGAACTTTTACGGTTGAACCATCTTCTTGGTCCGATTGTGTTATCTAGCAGTGGATACGTTATTTTTTCTGCTCTCCTTAGGTCCAATATTTCCATTTGATTACACCTATATTTATGTAAGGTTGAATCTTGTTCTTAGCAATAGTTGTAGACTGTTGAAGTTATAATTTCGCTACATTAGACATTTTCGAGCTTTTCGCCGGGTTTCTGATCAAGTCAATAAGCTCATCCACTTTTTTTACAAATAGATCTCCAAGCTAGAATAGAGCTTTCTTCGGTCAGCGCCCGCCAACATCTATTTTGTTTAGGTCAATCGAATTGTTTCGAAATGTTTGGAAAAATTCTCTATGGGACAAAACAAACGGCTGAGAAGAAAGGATTCATATAGGACTAATTGCAGCCAATTTGTCCCTAAACACTTTGGTAGTTCTCATATCTCGCAAATGTGTCAAAATAAATAATGCTTCTTAAAATGCGTTTGACCGCATTTTTTTTGGTCTTCAAAACAGTGTAGAATCTTTCTTTCGTGCAAGTCTTACTTAGTCTGTTATTTTTAGCACTCTCGCGACGATTGACACCTATAGGTGTCATAAAAGTTTTGCGAGAGTGGTCGGTAAGACACGTATAGGTCTCATTTACTTTCCGATGGTTTATTTGGTTGTACAGAGGTTTTTTTTTTCCTATACTTCTCGTAGTCAATCGATCAAATCAACGCAGATACTATGGCTAGTGTCGTCCATGGAAGGATGTCTTTGTAAAAATTTCTCAGTAATTTCTCATTTTGTGGTGGGAGAAGAGAGTATAGCCAGTGAAGAGGTGCGCAAATGCAGCAGCCTCCCAGAGCTGGTAACGAACGATATATCCAGCATCATTTTTGACAAACATTTCGTTGTTTTCTCATTTTCAATCACCATGTTGACTTTTGAGTGTTGTTTGTAATTAGGAAGATATCAAAACTAAAAGCTGAACGCCGTAATACTGCTTGTACAACTTATGCCACTTCATCAGATGCTGACAGTAGTATGGTGATTGTGTAGTGGAAAAGTATTTTTTCTTCATGCACACCAAAAACAGGAGGGTGTGCAGAAGAACATGGAGCATAAATAGGATAACGAAGCACACTTTTCTTTCTAAACGCTGAGAATAACCGATGTATGGAACAGAATGACAACAGAAAGGGTGGGACTATACAAAACTGGATTGGTTGGTATGACCCCTATAAGTGTCACAATTAGCGCTGCGAAGAAGCAGGTGCCATCCACTTCGCAGAAACGCGAAATTAGGCGTTGTCGCATGAATGTTAGTTAGTCTAATCAGTTTCATGTTAGCATTGAGACAGTGCGACTTTTCTCTGTTGGTCTAAGGTCCATCCAAAAGGCTCACTTATATTCTACCAACACTAGTAGAAATTGATGGAAGGTGTAGGATTCCAGATTTCCATACGTCGTTTGTGCATCATGTTTTCTGAAAAGCTAATAACACAGAAACAAGCAAATACGTGTACCAATTAACCACTTGATACCGACGCATAATTCTGTACGGCCGCAAAATGGGACGACACATAATTTTCGACCATTCTCTCTGTCATATGTTACGCATGTCAGCAAAAGAGCCTACAGCAAATGGCCCTGTATGTATGTTTTTTGGGACTTTTCCCTATTTAATTCGGTTCGTTGTGTACTTTGCTGGTGTTGTTTTTTATATTCCGCGTGTCCTCTATATTCTTCCCTGTATCTCTCCATACTTACTTGGATACTTGGGTGGCCCGTCTTCATTCGTTCTGCAGATCGCAGCATAATTTCCATTTTTCGGAGTTTTGCTGGTTTAGCCATTGTGGTTTTCCGAGCTCCCGCGGCCAGCTGAAGCAAAGCCTCGCCAGGAAGGTGGTGGATCCTGGTATTGGTTTACTCTTAGTTGGGTTTGTTGTTCGAAACGCTGAACTCCTCAGCTTTGGAGGCCTCGCTGGGGATGAACCTCTCCCACGATGAAGCAGTAAAGCGTTGGGAAGGTACCTATTCTGTCTTTTCGCACTTTTAAAAATTATCCAACTCTTGTGCGTGATGTAGAAAACTTATCTGCTACCCAGTCACCTTGTTGCTGGTATTTCATAAGTTTTTTTCAAGATTTGTAAAGTACATTTCATGTATCCTCCCAACGGTTTCCCGCCTCATCGTGATTGGGTGGTGTTCCTGGGTGTAGGACTGCGATGTACAGCAGGGGATACATCTCTCAGCATGGTCTCCCAAGCTGAGGAGTCCGGCGTTTCCATCAGGAAGTATAGCTAAGAGTAGAACAAAACCGGGATCAACCACCGTCTTGATATCAAAGTCGCATGGTGGCTCCCTTTCATTCACAGGGGCTGCGACTACCTGTGGTGGTGAAGACCTAGGGCAGACTTTGGCCAAGCTGGCCTCGGGATTCCAGGGAACCACGATGGCTCAACCAGCATATCTGCAAAAAAATGGTAACCATGCTGGGGCTCGTACAACCAGTGAGCATAAGCCGTTCAGGTATTAAGTAAGTTTCATGTATATAGTGTATGTATAAGTCTATGAACTAATGCGGAAAAGGAGGAAAAGAATTTTTTATAAATTTCTGAGTCCAGAATAGACGTTTTTTCTGGAGAACACCCGCCGCAAAATCTTTGTTGAATGAGCTATCGAACGATTGCAGAAATGGAGCAAAAGGCTCTCTGCGACAAAATAAATGACCGAAAGAAATATGCGTTATTTATGATGCAGCTCCGCGGCAATGAGTTTTCTTTTTGAGTGATGACCACTTCATTCATTTGTAAGATGAAATACTTTCTCTGAACTTACGAAAATTGTCAAAACTTCCTGGTCTATTGAGAACATGGTGTCATCCTTTAACTGTTAGAGTTGTGAATTTAATACCCAAAATAATAGATCTCTGCTATACGTTGCTGCTCGGCAGTCGAGAATATTCCTGTCCAAGACGAAGATGTACGCGATGGCGTTGCGTACACACGCAATTGCACCAATTTCTAATTCGATTACTAGTGAGAACTGTTTCACAAAAATTTGGTTTTTGCGACTTTGGTACTTTTCACCAGTATGGAGGTTTTCTAAACTTTGTTTGGTCAGGATGCTGTATTGTTGTATCACTTTGTTTAGTTTGTTATAAAATAATGCAGCTGTCTATGGTTGAGAACTTATGTTGTAGGAGAGCAGAAGATATTAACTCAGTGGTTCTATCATTTGAAATGAAATATTTCATAGGTTTCTGTGCTAAGTGAACAAGTTGGAGCTCAGAAGGAGAAAATCCGAGACTTAGAGGCCTTGTTAGCTTTGAAGCGCAACAGCCTTAGCTCAGCCGAAGAACTGTGTCAAGATGTACGTTAAGGATCTTTTTTGGTTATTTTAAGCAACATTGTTTAGTCGGTAAGAGAATTTAAACATTTTCTTTAGAAACAACATAACGGTGACGATGTCGTAGATTTGGAACGCAAAAACTTGGTGTTTGAAGTCTCAGATTTGAAGAGCAAGTTTGCTACCTTGGGACAAGGAATGAATGAAAGCGAAAATAGTATTGTAGCTACACAAGTATACTTCGATTTTGGAAACCACTGTCTAGTGGTAATATTTGATGAATACTGTTTCCAGCATGAAAGTGTTTCTGCAAATCAAACAAAGCGCAGTGTAGCTGTGCCAAAACGGACTTATGCGAAGGTTAACAAAGGTTGCGAGAAATCACATCTATCAGCTTCACGAAGAAGTTTTGAAGAAGGCGAAAGTACGGATTCCGGTTTATTATAATGCCATAAAGTTTATACAGGGTAATTTCATGACCCTTTATCTCCTACGAAAATGAAATTTTTAAGAACTTCAACATTTAAATGACGTTTTACCGCCTACTCTTTTTAATGGCAAGTTACTCTATGGAAATATAACCACAATGATGTTGAGATATTTGCAAAGCTCCTCACCGCAGGTGTCGGCGGTGGGGAATGAACGCGCTATTGTCCTTTCCTGGGAGTAACACGTTCACCACCACACCATGGGGGTCCTTCGTTCCGCATGTCTCTGAGCCGATAGCAGCTATAGGTCGATAACACGGCTGAGAAAAAAGCGAAACGGAGGACTCGCGTGGTGTGGTGGTGAACGCGTTAACTCTCGGAAGGGTACTAGCGCGTTATTTCACCATTGCAGACACCTGCGGTCCGGGCTTTTGCAAGTATCTCAGCATGATTGATCATGGTTATATCAACATTTAATTCAGATGAAGAGATGAAACAATTGCGGAGTACCGTTCAGCGTTTGATAGCCGATAACGAACAGAAGAATCACCAAATCAACACGCTTCGAAATGCTCTAAATGAACAAATGCGTTCTAGGGTCAGTGGGCTCTTCGTTTAAGTTCATTGTTGAAGTTGGTATGTTTACGCTGTTGTTTGCAACAGCTTCTTTCTTAACTGTAGTTGACGTCGAAAAACCTATAAATCACAGCATTTGTTTAGTCTCATCAAGAAGACTTCTACCACGCATCACAGTGGAATGATGACTTGAATTCTCAGATACGTCGTTTGCTTTTGGTAAATGACTAGTTGACTATGACTGGTGAATTATGCTTCGATCAACTAGCTTTTACATAGGAAGAACCATCGGAGATTATGACCCATTCGACATCGTTTCCAGTGCGATTATGTTCGCCATCTTGCAAACCAGAGACAATACAGGTTCACTATTATAAAACGCAAGTTGTTTATACTGGTTGTTATATGTGAAGTGTCCGATTTTGAACGAGAACATGACAATTCTATGGCTTGCAGCGTAGAGATTGAATTTTTCGAGTAAGGCGTGAGATATTGCAGTCAATACACTTTCACCAGCGTGGTTATTCCATTTGCCCAAAAATTTGGATTCTGGAACATATGGAGTTATCAGAGTTTGATTGCCTTTTGATTGGCGAAGATCACACGCAAACGATATGGTTTAGATGTATACAGAAGTAGGCTATCGGTGAAAACAAATGGAACAGTTCTCACTGTTATTTGTTCTGAGCTTTCATTTGTGAAACATATGGATGCGCATTATGTTGCAGCAGAATCAGCCCTTTTCACCTGACCAAAAACACTCCAGTTCTGGATGTGCTTTTTCGATTTCGTAACTGTACTTTGCTGCTGTAGTGTGTTCATCACTGTTTAAGAGATTGTACTGGGATAATTCTGTCTGATAAGCACAAAAGAATAATCGTATTCTTCTTTTCATGCAAATTTGGTTTCGGAAAGGCTTCTTGATCCATCTTTATTTGGCTGTTTCACGTGATGTGGTTCTTTCACAGAACACTTTCTTAAGCCTACATTACGCTGTAGTCAAAAGTGAATCGTTCCTGTTGTGTATAGGCATAGAACGACGTCATGAGAACGATCTTTTTACCTTTCGTTTGATTCGTACACTTTTCACTTGTAGTGTTTTTTTTTACTTTCCAGTTCGGATGAGCTGTTCGGATTTGCTGTTCTAATTTCCATTGTAACTAATGTTATTATACTATTTTCATCCTAGTGAGTTGGATTCAAAACCGATGTAAAGTCTATAACCTAACCATAGAAATGTAGTGGGAAATCCCAATTAATAAAGGAATATATGTTGATGATCCTCCCAATGGTTTACCTCCTTATCGTGGCTGGAAGGTATTCCTGGGTGTCGGATTGTGATGCACAGCGGAGTGATTCGTCCCACGGCAGGGTCTCCCAAGCTGAGAAGGAGTCAGGAAGTCTAGCTAAGAGTAAACCAATACCAAGATCCACTATCGTCTCAGTGTCAAAGTCGCATGGTGGTAAATCTCCCTCTGATCCACAAGGGCTGCGACTGCCTGTCGTGGCGAAGGCCTGGGGCAGACTTCGGCCTGGTTGACCTCGGGACTCGAGGGAACCATAGTGGCTTAACCAGCAGATCTCCGAGGGGTAGAGATTGTGCTGGGACCCGCACAACCAGTGAGGATGGACCATTTAAGTATCAAGTAAGTATATGTAGAAGATTCGTAACGAAAAAGTTGCTTTTGCCAAAAAAATGCATTAAAATCTCATTCCGGAAGTCGGATATTTCATACTAAATAACCATAAAAATGGAAACGCTTAAAAATAGTGTAGGTTGTAATTTCAGCCTTCATCATCATTTACATCGTCTTTATCTACGCCTTCTTCGAATCCCGGTTGTTCACGAGCGGTAACTCGGTATTTATATCCCAGCATTTCAGGGCAACGGAGTGAACAGAGGTGGGTTTATATGGCGTTATTTATCGGATTCTATTAAACTTGATTAGAAATTGATTTACAACTACTGTTCTAGGAATAACTAACGCTACCTGATAAAGTCAATAGCACATGAATTTGCAGTTACCGGTCTCCTTCGTCATTAGCAGCGCGTCAACTGGCTGCCGAATTGGATGAGTTGCGTCAAACAGACTGGAAAACGCAGCAGCCCAAAATTTACTCTTCAGTCAGTTTGCCGCGAAAGTTGGGTAATAAGGTTCGTATTCTATTAAAATTTAACGCGCTTTTCTTCCTTTTCAGTGTAGAGTTGGAAACTTTTAGATAAGATTATTATCACGATGGTATTGCAACTGTTTTATAGAAATGGTGTCTAGTTTCTACATTTTGCAGGCTTCATCGGCGTTAGCGCTAGGTACGAAGAATCATTCGCTCAGTTCGATCAATTCAGCAGGTTCGTGTGATGTGGACGTAGATTGGTCGGCTTGAAAATCGCCAATAGTTTCAGTTGAATCTGATGACGAGATCACGAGGGGCGCGCAACGCAAGATATCACCTCGTACCTTTGCCGAAATGCCGCCGAAACGTAACAGGACTCGCTCTTCCATACGCAACTTATTTAGTAAACTGACGAGAAGTCTATCACAGGAGCAGAACCCTGCCATTTACAAAACAGGGAATGTGAGTCGGTAGGTTTCATTGACGTCTAGATTGTTTATGAGCAGGATGAGAGCACTGTCCAAATATTGATGTTACATTTAATCGTATATATTAGATATATGGGTAGAAACATTAATGATCTCTTTCGGGAGATGTGTAATCCACTGTGATCGTCTTTCACGTGATTTTTTTTTTCTTGCAAAAATCTTGACGAATAACAAATCGTTCCACATATGGCTATAAGGGTTGTATTCTTTTTTACAAGCAAACGGTGTTTATTACGTTTTTTTTTCAAATCAGGTCTACACTGGCTGACCATACCCAAGACAAGTGTCGAAATGTGGAGCTGTTTCCACCACTTTCACATTTTGTCGATTGGAGGTTAGAACAGTTGACAAAGTGGTTGGAAAAAGCAGGGTTTGCTCAGTACATTCCTGAAGTAACGAAAAATGTGCGATCCGGGCGGCATCTTTTGAATATGAGTTGCATTGAGTTCGAAACTGTAAGTTGATGACGCTTTTCTTTATCACAATGACTGAGTTAATGGTCGTTCACAGTGGTATTTTAACATTGTCAACTTTCACCATCCACAGGTTCTTGGGATGAAAAATGCACTTCTCAGAAAACGGTTAAACGTGTTGTTACGACGAATCGAAGACGACATCGATGACCACGGCAATGTATGGGATATACAACAAGTATGTGTCTAATTGAAAATTGTCCATCACTTTCTTTTTAATGAGTACAGTTTAGACACAGAAATGGTTGGAGGATATTGGTCTTCCTCAATATAAAGAGATTTTCTTCGAGAATATGATTGACGGAGTAATGATTCTTGCGCTGACAGCGGCGGATCTCGCAGAGGTGAACTAAGCTTTATGCGTTCAAAATTCGAATTTTCTTCACAAGAAGCGCTTGGAGATGCTTATAATTAAGGATCACTCTAAGATAGTCTTAACCGTTTTATTTACTGTCTACTCTTTTTGATGGCAGGGTATATTGCAAAATATGACTTTAATGATGCTGAGATATTTGCAAAACTACGGACCGTAGGTGTCCGCGGTAGGGAACAAAAGCGCTATGGTCCTTCCCGGGGAGAAACGCGTTCACCACCACACAATGCGAGTCCTTCGTTTTGCCTGTCTCTCAGCTAGTTCTATTGATTTCTGCCATCAGCAATCACCCATCGGTATGGTGCTTAGCAATATTGCATATCATTTTTTGAGTGTTTTGAAGCAAGTTTCTTAATCTTCTTCTTTACTGTTTAGTGAATATGTATGCATTTTAACGCTTTGCAGCACAACATGAGTTGATTTCCATTCATTTCTTTCCAGCTGTTTATATTGCCCAACAGTGTTCTTTTTCTTCCCCTTTCTTTTCTAATTTGAAATGTGCAGGGCGTTCACCCACGAAAGCTATTCTCTGCGCATTGGAATTCACAAAAAAGAAAACATTTATACGAGTATATTTGTTCCGTGACGAGGAAATTCCTATTGAGATGGGTACTAAGATATCTACTACCTAATAGGCCGTTGTTGGTGAGTAGGGCATTAATTCGAAGGCTGGAAGGTGGACGGCAATGCACTCATTGTTGTCCTCTCACACAAACACTTTTGGATACCTTGCTTGTTTATAAAGCCTTGCTTTGCTCAGTATTCTAAAAAATGTACTATGACTCGTACAAAGATCTTCAAAGGACATATAGAAGGCTGTTTGGGCGGTGATGTGTGAGTATGTATGTTTTACAACAACACAATCACTCTTTTATTTACTGTCTAAGTAATATTCAATCTGACAAGCTGATTATGAAGTGTTGTGCTGGTGTGAATGGGTGTGAACTGAGAACAAAAAATGGACGTTGCACTGTTTACAAACTAACTGCATAGGATGTCAGAATTCGGTGGAAAAATCGTTTCGATGATGTGTTTATCTTTCATAAGGTGGTGTGAGGGCGTGTAAATGTTGGTGTCAAAGTGGTTGGAGTAAAAGCCATTAAAGTCATTAAGATATTGTAACAAAGTAGGAACTAGGTACAGTTGTAGGTACACATAGTTGTTAAACTCTCTATTAAAAGATTATATCGGCGTCATCGTACTCATTTTCATTGGCGATATCACGAGCTCTATCATAGCCATGGAAATGGATCTTTCTGTTTCCACATTTCGCTGTTGGCGCTGAGTATAGTAATTGGTTGCTTAGCGGTCTGTCTTGCAATGTGTATGCGTAGGTTGAAGCTAACTAGGAATGGACCTTCATTACCCATGTTAACATTTGTAAACGAGTCGATTAGCGGAGCATTTTGCATACACAGGAGCACTTCCATGTGTCTATGAATGAATATGCACTTTATATACATACGCAGGGCTCGTGTCGCGCAGTGGTTGGGGGCACCGCTGCGACACACGTGGAATCGATACCCATGGCCTGGCCCACCAAGCCTTCCATCCCTTCGGGGTCGGCAAATTGGTACCGGACTTGTCTGGGAGGACAACAGCATTGGATCGTTACATCGGTAGGCCACCGAGAGTTATTGTAAAGGCCAGATATGCATCCAGTCATCTCCAACGGTACTTAATGAAGTCGAACGCATGGCACATCCCTCAGGGATTGATCAACGCTGACAGCTTTATCCTTTATCCTCTATAACGCAGAGGAAAGTGGAATAACCATCGTAAAGATGTAAACTATACTCGTTTGTTCACTTATGACTCAACATAAATACGTCGTCATTTCTGGTCTGTTTTGCTACTGCTTCCAGTCTGTGGACATATTCATGGTTAATCGGCTAGAAAAGTTACTATATTTGTGTTCGCTTTGAGCACTTCTTTCAGTTTGAAACTCTTGGAAGCTATTTCTTTTTCATGGTTTTGTTCTTCCGATTTCTTAATGTTATAACGTATTTTGCTTTTCTAGTAGGCTTTTCTGAGATATCTGACTTGTAGAAATTGTTCTGCTTTTTTTCCATGAAACTGTTCCTGTTAGTCGCGCAACGATTCTAATGGCTTTCATTGTAGATGCGAGTCCTCAATGCTCATCATTACTTATGTTTATCTAGAAGCATTCAATACATGAAGATTGTGGGATTCAATGCCGAGTGTTTGATGCAAAATTTCGATGAGGTGAGCGTTTCGTGGTTTTGAATGTTACATATTTCAGAGATATCACTGTGAAATTGGGAACTTTTTTATCGCTTAAACAGTCCTCCCCTGTAAATAGTTTCGGTGAATACTGGATGGCTTCGAATATCAGCGCATCACTTAACCAAGGTGTGTAAACAGGGGTTTGATAAATAATGTATTGAGCACTTCTATTGTACAAGCTCGAGTATCTTGTAATCAAGTTGTTCTCCAGTCGTAGAGCCATGGCAGGGTTTTAAATGTTATAGAGGAAACCTGGTATTTGTCTTACAAAGAATGTTCTGGCATATGTTTAGTGGAAAGAAAAGATTCTCCTTTAACATCTGACTACCGATATCGTTTGGAACAACCTAATTGTCGCTTTTTACATCGACTTTTATAAGTTGTATTTGTTGTAATGATGTAAATCATGCAGTGGGGCAATAGAAAAACCTACATTCCTCTTTGTTGGAGCTTTCCGGGGATCACGACTACTCGTGGGGCACAAAAATCACTACATTATTTACACGGAGTTTATTTTATTTCATTGTTTTTGGCGAAAGGGTAGCAGCAATTAGTTCGTGGTTTTAATCATAGCCTAGATTCGCTCATTTCTTACCTTCCAGTCGAAAAATTGAACTCTTTCCCAGCTTGGTGGCCTTACGAGCAGGGTGAACATCCTGCTTTAGTTCGCATATTTCGTAACACAAGAAGAACTCGTCACTGGTTATGATAATTTTTGGTGTTTTCTTACCTTATATGTAGATAGTGCTGGAATAGAAAAGTGAATGGTAGTTTGTAGTAACGTTGGAAGTCGGTTACTGTTTTGCTACTGAATGAATCCACTTCTTGGTTGATGGCCATTGAGTTTAACGATCGTTTCTATGGTGTCAGATGGTGTAACCGTAGGTCTCATTACAATCGTCATTCGAAAGGTGATATAGAGTGTAAATAGGGAGTGTAGCTGAAGGTCATACACTTAAACAGAGTGGGTCGCTGCTTTTACCGGAGCACCAGGTGGGCTTCGAATCCGCAATCCCCTTGCCGGTGCTCATGTACTATCCACCATATGGCGAATGTGGCTGAGAGAAAAGCAAAACAAGGGCTTCGGTTGGCGTGGTGGATAGCACACGTGTCCCCTACCGCGAGGGTAATCATGGGTTTGAAACCAAGATTAAGTTTCGAGTTTCGGTCGTGTCTCAGTATCTTTGTTGTTGTATTTAGATCCTATTTATACTACCTGACTTTAATTTCTGTTCAAATCTCAGGAATTATTTCAATTCGTCGTCTCTCATCTGTCATCCACGAGTACTTTTTATGTGCTGTCGTTTGAGAACTTTGTCTTCCTCACGAATGTCGTTGAACGCTGATTGAGTTCATCTTCAATGGAATGGTAGAATAGTATTGTTGTTCCCATATTTTCACCGTAGGGTAATCAGTCTTTATGTTTCGAAGAAAGCTTTACCCAGAGAAATCTGGTACCAATTTGTAAACTGCGGAAGAAAGGGAAGTTTGGTTGGCCCGGTGTGGAGTCGAGCAGCGACCATGTATTTATTATTTTACAATGTCTCAATCAGCTGCGCATTCCTCTTCCGGATTGATCATGGGATATAGGTAATCCAGCTGCTCTAACTATACACGTCAGTGAGCATCAGTATTTGATACTTCTTTTGGAGGAGAGGTAGTTCTTAGGCGTTTTTTGTAGTTTATATGTGGGCCATGTCAAAGAATGCAGTAGTAGCTTCAGTTTCGAGAACAGCCGGAGTTTTTATGCGCCGTGGATACTATTCTGATGTGAAAGTTGAAATTTGTGATTTGCTTTTCATAGTTGGTCAAGAACCTGCTATTTTGGTCCAATACGAACGGCATTTCGAGGCATACAGTGCCAACACATTTGGTTAATTCTGTCTTCGGTTGTTCGACCATCTCATGTTGTAAGAAGCACATCCCGTTTTTGAAGGTATTGTTGTTGGTTCTTTGCTTCCTGGGGCAGTTTTCTAGTGAGTGGTTCGGGACGTAGTATAATTGTATAAACACTCAGTCATCGTGCGTAGTGGATGATGGGAGATTTCCCCATACCTACCAGCTCGACATCTGGAAAATGCATAATCTTATTAAGGCTTCAACATGGATATACTAACACTTACAGTCCGCTCCACAATTTTTACTGGTTACCGCTTAAGACCACCTCCAATCTTCGGTGACACGCGCGCACTCGATGTGTGGGAGACAACATACCTGTGTTGATGAAGTTCAGCTGCTTAACTTATATTGTGTCTTACAAAACTTGAGAATTCCGTCGTTGCAGAGTAAGAGAACTTATTTTGTAAGCAAAAATGTGCAGGTTTGTAACGTAAATTAATAGCGTTCACTGTGGTCTTAAAAAGTGCTTGTCTTAACCAAGCTGAAATAAGCTTATTCTAACACGACTGAGTACGAATCAGTTCAATAAGTGTTAGCATCTAAATTAATACTATGAGTTTTGTTGTGATCTTCAAACGATTACTCACTAATTCACTTGTCTATAGTTTTTTTTTAGTCAATCGTTTCAAGTTATCCACGTCCCGATGCTGCAGTGCGGTGGACTCATGCGGCCACTTGTGAGTGGTTACGAATGATCGACTTGGCAGAATTCACACCTCATTTGTTGTGCGCTGGAACTCCAGGAGCACTGATGGTTGGTTGTACGGTTTTGTGCTTCTTGCAGTATTTATATATCAGGCTATATGCTGCATAACAGTCGAATTTTACTCTACGCTACCAACGTTTTCACCTATATATTTTTGTTATAAAGAACACCAGAATGTCCACCAGAGTGCATGGGCCAAAACTTTGCAGTTCCATTCTAAAATTGTTAAAGGATAGAGGACAAAGCTCTCGACGTTGATCAATCAATGGGAGATCCGCCATGCATTCGACTTCATTAAGTATCGTTTGGAGGTGATTTAATGCATATTTAACCCTTACAATGACTCGCAGTGACCGATTGATGTATCGAACCAGTTGCTGCTATCTTCTCAGACAAGTCTGGTACCAATTTTCGGACTCCGAAGGCATGGAAGACTTGATCGGCCAGAGGCGCGGGACTCGATTCCATGTGTATTGCAGGACGCCTGTGAACATTGCGCCGCACACTCTTATCTAAAATTGTTACTTATTCTTGTTTTGAAGGAATTCGTATTGGAATCATGTTCTTTCACTTTACCGTGGTTTTTGCAGGGAACTAACTGCATTGTTTTAGTTCAGCTGTGATCATTGAGATAGGTATAATAATGCTATGTGTTTCTGAGGTTTTTCTTTTATTTTGCCACATTACAGAAAGTTATTTGTGCACTATTTATTCGATTCAGCAATTACCTTGGCTTTCTGTTGCTTGATGTCTATCCCAAACAAAGAAAAATTCGAAGACATGACCGTAAATGACGTGCTTAGATTCAAGAATGTTTCAGGTATGTGAGCCGACGTTCACTGCTGAGACGTTAGCAGAAATTCTGCAGATCCCTCCACACAAAACTTTATTGCGGCGACACCTGACAACACACTTCAATCAGTTATTGGGTCAAAGAATTGTTGCTGAGAAAAGGGATTTCTTAGCTTCAGGAATATTGCCTCTACTTTTGCCTGGAATGCGAATAAAGGTTGGAGATTTCACTGCAGAGTTAAAATAAGGAGACAACACTACTTCTTTAGATCGCGAAGAAGGGATTGCCGTTATCACGAAAGAAGTCGAAAACTGAGCTCTATCTTGAGTCGAACGAACTGTTGTGCTCACCTGAGCTCAAACCCCTGTATCTTTTCACATTTCAAAAATAACTTGCCTTCTCAATTGTTCAAGCGCTGAGTTGTCATTTATTCGGGAACTGTTTCCAATTTTTGATTCGACACAGGAAGAAAGCGGATTAGATTCTGTGGTTTGCACAACCATGATGAGTTGAGTGTTTTTTTTCTTCACAGTATTGTTTCGATTTTCCTCAAAAGGTGTGATTACTATCGTTGGTATTGTTGCTTCAAATGGTGCTTGTTTTAGGTAATTGTAATGTATTTATCCTCATTGATTCCTTGAAAGTTTGTCGAACTTTCACATAAATCGGAATTGAACATTGTTCTTCAAAGGCCGTTCGCTCACTGTAAACTTTATTTTGTAGATACTGAAGTGCTTTGAAATCGCTTCATTTCTTTTTATTGCTCCCAGGAATTCCCAGCTTAGTTTAAGGGCATGTTTTTAGAATGCATTTCATGTGTGCTTCCTGGTCATCTTTTGACTCCCCTTTGTTTTCTCAGCTAAGAAGGTGTTGATAATGTTCTATGTAAATATGACTGAGATATTGGTTCTTCGGGAATTTATGCAAGATTTCAACCTTTGCATTTAAAATGACATATCTTAGCTTATAATAAAATTTGCTAATCGAAAGAAGAATAGTACTTTACGCATTTTTGGCAAAGAGAAATAAGCTCATACATTTCAGTTCCATGAGGCTCTGAAATTCTAGAGGTGATGCAGTCCTTGGAAGCAGTTTCGGCCTCAGCTTGATTCTTGAAGGATTTCTCGCGCAGAAGGTTGCCGAGAAGCATGAAGAGTAAATAGTCGCTAGATGAGACATGCGACCATTGTGTTGGTTAGGGGGAGTTTAGGTGTTTATCTCGTTCATACCTAGCAGATTCGGACGTGCGACGTTTGGTCGCGCGTTATCGAGTAGAAGGATCGACCTCTTCCTGTTGAATCGAATCAAATCGAACCAACCGCACAGAAATCACATGGAAGTATAATGTCTACGGTCTCTACGTGACATACTTAGTGGAAACCTCATAGGAAGCGGCTCTGATCTGAGAAAGGCGAAATCCGCCGAAACGTCAGCTTAATCGTGAACAAAGAATAATAACACCTCGCGTTTGCTCAACAAAAATACGAAGAATTACTTGATCAATGCCGAGGTTAATAGAAAGTCGGTAGTGGCTTTCGAATTCATTAGCAAAGTTAAACCTGAGGAAGTGTTCAACAGTAATGCTGGTCAAGCTCAGATGGGCTTAGGATGGGAAACACTTTTTTACACGGCTTATTCTCCAGTCATCGCATTTTCTGCCTAAAGTCTACGCAGTATTTTTAAGGAATGTCTGCAAAAAGTGCCTTCACGATCAAATATAATTTGTAAATACGAAGGAAAAAACTTTTGACCCGATTTTAGGTTGGGACATTCGTCGCTTATCTCAGTGATTGTCGTTCAGCATTCAAAAGCCATAGAACTGGTGATATGGAGCAAAGTTACGGCTGAAGAGTTCTACCCAGAGTGAGGCTGATACAAAAAATAAACGATTTTGACGAAAATTTCGAAATACTATAAATAAGAACAGATAGAACTGGTTGAAATATAGACGAAACGAAGGACCCGCGTGATGACGTGGCGAACGTGTTAGCCCCCGGGAAGTGGTAATAGCGCGTTCGTTCCCCACTGCAAGTACTTGCGGTCTGGAGTTTTACAAACACGCAGTAAAGAAAAAGTTAGCACTATAAATAAGCTTATACAAAAATTTTTTGACTGGAATAAAAAAACCGTCAAAATCTGCAAATTTCTTGCGCATAAACAACGGACCTTTTCTGTTGAACAAAATTGCATACACGCATTGTAGTTTTTGACTAATCTAACGGATTTAAACTTATTATCTGCTGCCTACTCTTTTTTTAACGGCAGTGCATATTGAGAAATAAGGGTATATTGCGAAATAACTACAGGCTCGGCTTAACTAGGTTCGTTGCCGATTTGGACTCCCCAGATTAATCCCGCTGACGGGTGATTGCTGATGGCAAAGATCGACAGAACTAGCTAAGAGTTAGGTCAAACGCATGGTGTGGTGGTGAACGCGTTAGCCCCGGAAAGGGTAATAGCGTGTTCGTTCATTACCATATACACCTGCGGTCTGGAGAATTTGCATGTTCCAATGAATCCGAAGTTCATGGACAAACTTGTGTTGACGAGAATGCCGGCGCCGCCGACTTTTCTGCTGTCGCATGTTCCGAGGAGTTGTTCTTCTCCAGTCTCATAGACGGCTTTGAATTGGTTGAGTTGTCTCATCTCGGCCAGTCTGATGACTTGTATCCTATAATTCTTGCTCGCATGGTCAAGTCTTCTATAGAGACCTCAGATGCAACTGTGCATATATTGTATATACAGAACGTCACCTTAGTTCCTTGCGATTTAGGCAGCATAGAAAAATTCTGAGAATTTAGCAAGCTCTCCAAACTCAACCATACAACAGAAACAGGGAGTCCAAATCCTGGATCTATGTGCGTCTCAGGGTAGCAAATGTCGCTTTTGGTCCGCGATTAACCCCCTATCTGCCACCTGTGGACGCGTCACGTGGCCTCGCGACTAACCGGCTCAAAATCCCTCATTTGAGGAAGATCCGTAGCCTTATTCAGTTGTTATTCGTAGTGAATTAAATCGCTTTTAAGAAACATTAGTTAGTATATCAACCAGCTATTACCTAATGTTAAACCGGTCTAATACCACTAATCTGTTATAGTTAGAAGTTCGACTAGCAGTTTAGTAACTACTATTAGTTATTTATTGTAGAATCTGGTTCAAAAAGCTTGGTAGTTTTCCTGTTCAGGCACTAACATTCGATGTCTTCGTCGGCTAGGAAGAGGTTCTCAGGGAGATGATAAATCCGGCGAAGGTGATACAGATCAGGAACTCGGCGAGAAGTTTGGTGAAACTCGCCTTTGAATCAAGAGAAATACTGTGTTTGGTTCTTCGTTATATTTCTAAGCTCCTATTGTCTCTCCTGGTTCCTGGTTAGGTTGTTTCTCCGTGCTTGCAACGCCGATCGAATGCTTGTTGCTATTTATATCTTTATTAATAATCATGTGTTGCTTGGTATGTCTTTTTTTGCTAATTAGACATGACTATTTCCAGCTGCGTCAAATAAAAGATGTAGCGGCTTGCCTCTCAATTATTCAAACTCAAATAAAAAGTTTCTTTCAAGATATGATAGGAAATTAAATTTAGTTATACTTGGTATTGTACTTATATTATACTATTATAAACTGTACTATTATATTTATATATTATACTTATATTTTATTAGTTTAACAGAGACGCAATCAATACCATTCGACGTCCTTTCCTGATCTTGAAGAGGATCCCGAGCCTGTGACGCCATATAGTAAGCAATGTTCTCGATACCTGGCTCATTATAGGCAATAGAGATTAGTTCTTCTAAAATTTAGCTTAGTTTCCGTCTATCTGTGGAAGATGGTTGACATGTTTTCATCTTCCGTTTTGTGGTTATTTCTGTTGTGCACTTAATATCGCGACGTACAACGAAGAGGTTCGAGTTATCAGCGAGCAATATAGGAGCTAATGGTCAAGTCGCGTTTATTATTCAGTAAACCCTGTATGTGATCGACTTTCTCAAGCTGTGACAGTGAAGATCTTCAGATGACGAACTCCATGCGCCTTAACTAGTTAGACCTGATTGCATGCTTGAATCAAGCGCTTCGAGTAACTTGAGCAATTTTCCTTTGGAATTGAACGTCACCATGGTGAAGATCTGTATTTAATGATAGCACTTATCTGTTCATAATCAGACAAGCCGGTTTTGTGTAGAACTAATTCGGCCGTAAATCTGTCAAATTTGAGCTGGACTTGTTTTGCATCACGCTTAACATTACATTTATTTGCCCACAATATTATTTCTCTACTCGCTTTAGATTCAGTAACATTTTCCACTCTTAAGGTAAAACCGTCAGCATTTAATGTCGTGTGGATATATAACTCTATTCCAGATGCTTATTGGATTTCGTAGCATCATATTTTCCCAGATAGGCTCAAAAGTGCCGACAAGTTAAAACGCCGCTACCAGACTACGCTAGCCCTGATTTTAGCGAAACTCCGTGTCCACCTACTAGGTTGATAAGATGTTTTAGGTATTTATTCCTTATAGTTCAAAAAATTGAGCACAGAAGATCTCGAACAAGTTGGAAGTGTTATGTTCTAAGATGGCTTATCGACATGATATTGTAGAGATTGCTGCATTACCAGGCATCTGCGCAGGTTTTTTCATTTCAGGAAACGCTTCCAGTGCTTTTTTGCTCGACGTTCCAGCTGTTGATCGTAATGTTATCTAGAACGCGCTTGATATAGGATCGCGAATTCTTCGAAAAACTCTCAGCAACCTTACGAAGTAAATACAACTGCCTAATATTAGTAAAGAGCTGTAACTTTAACTTTCTAAGGGCAATCCGGATCCGCTTAACCCAGGAACTAGTAGGAAGAAAAGTATGATGACAGACATTAGACGAAACGTTTTAATGAAATTGTGCATGACTCAACAGTTTGTTTCCCCTAATTCAGTACTATTACATGGCAAGGTCAACTAATGCACTTTTTCCCGGCAAAATTGCAATATAAATTGCATTGCTTCCAAATCTAAATGCCTATTTTTATATATCAAGTCCCTTCCAGACAAACAAACAGAACACAAGGATGACATCTTAAAAATAAAAGCCTGAGGCAAAGCTAACCAGCTACATCCTGTTTACTGCCAATTTTTGGTCGTCCATTTTTTTTCCACAGAGTTCTTAATCGCCGTTCCAGCATCGTCATCATTGGCGATTTCCAGCTTTTGCGGATATTAGCTAGACTTGCCTTCTTACCATTCTTGGGTCGCA